AGTTGCCATCAACGTAATGGAAATGTGTGACACCTACAATAATGATCAAACACTTAAAGAAAAGACTGTAAAAAGTTTCAGTCTAATGGTGTTGTTGTTGTTGTGATAGCTCCCTACTGTTGTCATCGTTACCTTTCAACTTTCCAACACTGAAATGCCAGAATTTATTCAACAAACTGTTGTAAAGCTTTAAAGGGGCCATATTCTGCTAAATTTCTGTTTATTTTTAGTATGTAGTGTCTCTACTTTAAAGAGTCCTCTCCTACTGATGTTCAGGTGTATATCAGTATCTAGTGTCTCTACTTTAAAGAGTCCTCTCCTGCTGATGTTCAGGTGTATATCAGAATGTAGTGTCTCTACTTTAAAGAGTCCTCTCCTGCTGATGTTCAGGTGTATATCAGTATGTAGTGTCTCTACTTTAAAGAGTCCTCTCCTGCTGATGTTCAGGTGTATATCAGTATGTAGTGTCTCTACATGTCTCCATGCTTTAATGTTCAAAAAGCTCTTTATTTTTCTCATACTGCCTGTGCTGCAGCACATCTTTTCACCCTCTGTCTGAAACCAGAGCCCAGTCTGCTCTGATTGGTTAGCTGGCCGGCTCTGTAGTGATTGATCAAGCGCTTAGAGATATCTCGCCCCTTAGCCTATCACGTACGCTATAGCTAATGGAAGCGTGCAAGTGTTACATAGTGATGTAACTTTGTTACAAAAGTAAACAAAGGAATCCAATGGAGGCGTTTACAGGCAGGGGGGAGTGATTTGAGCCTTTTCAGACCATTTACATGCACACAAAACCTATATAACACACTACAGGAAAAGGAAAACCCAAACAATTATAATAGGGCCCCTTAAACAAATTAAAGACCCCCCACAGAGTAACAAACTGTAATGCAGTTTGTAAGTTGTGTATTCAGTTTGTCCATAAATGCGCAGAAATACAAAAATACATATAATAAAAGTTGCCATGGAGCCACATTTAAAGGTGTGACGGAGTGGCCTCAGACGTATCCTGTGATGTCATATCCTGCGGCGGGCTTCTTGCCGCCCTGCCCTGCCTGAGCGCTGGCCTGCGAGCTGTGGCTGGTGGTTCTCAGCCTGTTCCCCCCCGCCGCCTGCAGGGTGGGGTTGTGGTAGGTCTGTGAGGTCATCCGTGCCCCCTGTCCCGGGACCCCAGGATACGGGTACCCTCCCCCCCCAGCCGCCTCCCCGCCCCGCCTCCTCCCTGTTCCTCACAACACGACACACACAGCATCGCCCCGCCCAGCATGGAGATGAGCGAGGAGGCCAGGCCCACGTACAGAGACTCCCCCAGCTCGAACTTCATGCTGGTGGGCACGTTGGGCTGGTAGAAGGTCTGGACCACTTCATGGGTGGTCCATGCGACCGGGATGAGTGACAGGAAGCCAGCGGACAAGAACATCCCCCCGCTGGCTCCTGCCACTCGACTCTTCATGGATCCGGACCCCTCCAGGCAGAGCGTGCACTGCATCCCCAGGGCGGCCATGGCTATAGCGAGGATGGAGAGCACCACGGAGATGACCATGAGCGCGCGGGACGCCTGCAGGTTGGGGGGCAGCGCCAGCATGGAGTTGTAGGTCTCGCACTGGAAGGCCCCCGTGCTCTGGAACACACACTCCATCCAGAGGCCCCGCATGTTGGCCACCGCCGTCACGATGTTGGAGCCGATGTGCGCCGAGATCTGCCAGTACGGGAGCACCGTGGCAACCGTGGTGCCCAAAAGACCCAGCAGACCCAGGAAGAAACCCATCAGCTCCAGAGCCGCCGACGCCATGGCAACGACTGGGATGGAGAAGAGCAGAAAGCATTTGTCATTTGTGTTTAGACAGTGGATGCATTTAATAATGTCAACATTTTAGTTTCTGTAATGATTTCAACTTCCAAGAAGAACTGGGATGGAGGAGACCCAAAAGCAAAATGTTGTCATTGTTTGTTGTTTGTGTTTAGACAATGGATGTAATGTCAAAATGTACTTCCTGTAAAAGTTTCAACATCTAGATTTTAAGCCATGCTATTGAATTTGAAGAAAGCGAAACACATTAGTCCGTCAACACAATTAAAGCCACATTATTTAATGGACTGACCCAAAAGCATTGTCCTTTGTGTTTAGACAGTGGAAGCATTTCATAAATTCAGTTTCTGTAACAATTTCAAAACACAAAAGCAAAATGTTGTCATTGTTTGTGGTTTGTAATTGATAATAATTGAGTTCCGCTAACAAATCAATGGATGCCGTCAGCCGAACATAGACTTTCAATAAAAATCAAAGCCACTTTAATGTTTTTTCAATCCTATATTAGCATTTTAAATCCCCAAACAACCATCTCTGCCATCATATTCACTTTATTAGACTGTAACACTACTGCTGTTGAGAGATGAACATGTGCAATATAATCTTTTTATGAGTGGCTGCTTCTTCAATACATTCATATGAAAATGTATTTGTCTTTACTGCTACACATTTTGAATAACAGTATACATAAAGTATAAGATTAACACACTTAAATTCATTTAAAAAGATAACGTAGTCAATATAAGATGTTTGTTAGAAGGTGAAATCTAATGCAAACAGTATCAAGTTTACTGTAGCAGCTTTCAAATGAGCTGAATAAACTCTATAAGTGTTGACATTTATTTTGGTGTAATTGCCAGATAAGGTGGTTGTCATCCATTTTGGTTTTGTTGATATCATTTTGTCATTATTTTCCCTGAGAGGGTGATGTCAGAAATGGCTGTTATCTCACTCAAAATGACTGTTTACGACGTGAGAGGTCTTTACTGGTCTTCTGGTAATGACAGTGTGTAACAAACGGCGTTACCTCGGCATTAACTGTCTGGAAAACATTGGCAGAGTCCAGCCACCTGTCACTGACCGAGTTAGGCTAAAAAAACCCACTGCTGTAGGTTTTAAATCAGAAACGCTGATACAGACGTTATGGTGGACAAACTGACTCACTATTGCAACACAAGCACACGTCAGTAAACAGCTTAGATTTGCAGTGGTGGGAGAAGCACTCACATTTTTTACTCAAAAGTAGAATTAACATTTCAAGTAACACTCTTGAATTGATTAAAAATGTCTCTTAAGTAAAGGTACAAACATATACAAGCCAATGTAATCCAATTTTGAAAAGTAGAAGCAATCATTAATGCCTATACTTTCAGTGTAAGTAAATAACAGGGGAAGTATCATGGGGATACATTTTACCACCTGCATGCAGTGTCGAAAATGCATGAATTTTACATTACATATCTCTGAAGACTGTTTCTCAAAATTCGTTTTTTCTCATATTCAGAGACGGAAATCTCCACTTTAGCAGCGCTTAGATACACTTACGTTTCCATTTTGTATTTCTTTTTTATATTATTTAGGTTTCCAATGAGGGGTATGTTATCTATTATCCATAGCCTGGATTTTATCACATTTTAAAACAAACAAAAAATGCAGAAATCTATAATTGTTCTGGCTTTTGACAGTATTTACAAAAGATATCCCCTTTGTAAAAACCTTTGACTCAAAAGTCAACAAAGGAAACAAGAATTTTGAACCTAGTTGTTTCTCATATTCGGGGTCAGAAATCTCCACTTTGACGTCCCTTACATACATCAAACCTTCCAGTTTCATTCCTATCAATATTCAGCATATTCAGATTTGTGGTTTGTGCTCATTTATACAACACTTAATTCTTAAAAACACGGCACAAATCGATTACTTGTTTGGTCTTTGACCCCATTTGATGTCCAGAACCCTCTCTGTAAAACCCTTCAACCAAATAAAACATTATCTTTTAAACTGACTTTGTCTAATGTTCCCATAATGTTAGCAAATTAGCCAACATTTTTTTAAATAATGCCTAAAGTGCGTAATTAAACGTAGAAATTCTGAAAAAAAATTACAGTAATCTACTACGGAAACATCCTGTGAACATTATGTGTCCTCTGCTTGTACCTCATACACTCAAAACATTAATATGTACCACACACACACACACACACACACACACACACACACACACACACACACACACACACACACACACACACACACACACACACACACACACACACACACTTGCTGCCAAATGAAATGCATTACCTGTTATTGCAGCAGCTGATGAAAGACTCAGATGCGTAGAGGGTGTGATTCTGTGTTTAGTTCAGGATCAGAAGTTGCAGGTGGAGCAGAGGTGTTCAGATCCTTCTCTGATGTTCCTGTTTCCCGGCTTCTTCCAGCAACAAGAAATGTGTGTTTTCCTACGTGCTGTCTCAGACTCTGACTGCCTCCTCAGACCTTGACATAGTCGCAGCTGTTGTGTCGCTGCTGTACTTTTAATAAGCACTTACTCTGCTGGCTGCGTTGGACCAAAGGGAGCCAAGAACAAATCTTCTGATGACGAAATACAATCCTTTGAGTTTTGATATGCCGCCTGTTGTAAAAGGCTCTCCACTTAAAGCAGCAATACTAGATGTGACTGCCTCTGTCACTGTCTCTGCTCAAGTGTGTGTTCTCTGTCCCTCATCCAGACCTTCACCTCCTGTCACACACACACACACGGTGACAGTGACACACACACATGCATCATCATTGGTTAATCATTGTCTCATCGGTCATCTCTCCAAAACAGACGGCTCAGTCCGGAGAATAAACGTGAAGCAGA